TTTTTTTTTTTTTTTTTCTTCACTAGAAAACGTCAGGTCTTAGAACTGAAGTATGGCCGCCCTGCCTGACTCATCTGGAAATGGCCTTGCACGCTGTTGTGTAGGCGGGACGGTGGACGTGTGACTTTGCCGAGTGTAAAGGTTCGTGTGGATGCTCTACATGTCGGGTGAAGCTTAGCCAAGTGCTGCTTTCATGCGAATGTTTTGCTGGAAGGAACCTTATTTCTCTTCCCTTTTATGTCTCTCAAGGAAGATGTGGCCTCTTTTTCCAGGGTTAATGCCTCTGCCTTTGGGTCTTAGTACTAATTTTCTGAGGTTCTTACTCCATCAGTGGTCACCTCACCACCCCTTTCACAATGGATTCTTAAACCATCATTTTCCTTAATCTCACCAGAATGAGCCTGGTGGAACCCCTATTTAAATTTGGCTTACTTGGGTCTCGTGCCACTAGGCCCTCAGACTGCTGTTCCCATGGTTGTGCTCTTGAACCTCTCCTGCCCATAGAGATCCTCAGTGAGTTCTCCACTTCCTGTGGCAGCAAGTGCCCCCTTGTTACAGGCAGCTCCCAAATCCCCTGTCCAGTATTTTAATGTGGCGCCTACTGTGCGTGTCAGGAACTGTTGTAGATACAACCTCAGGCTGACTCCTGTCGCCACTTAGGGAATGTTTGTACAGAGAAGCACAGTGCAGAGGAGGGGAGAGTGAGGCGGTGGGAGTGAGCGAGTGTTCTGGGGTGCTGGTTCGGGAGGCCTCTCAGCAGGAACGTGCCAGGCAGAACGAAATGGTGAGGATGGGGAGTCGGGTAGAGGTCTGTGGAGTGGCTCGGGGCTCCCTGATAGCGCGGTCTGGAATCTCCACACAGCTCTCAGGGTTTTCCAGCTACATGTCCTGCTGTCTCTCTAACCATGTCTCCTCTCCCACTGCCACTTCCCTCTGGGAGGTGCCCCAGCTCTCCCTACGTGCCAGGCACGTAATCCCCGTCTGATCCCCATGCCTGACTCACATCAGCCCAGCTGATCTTCTCTCCAGTTTCTGTTTTGTGTTGGCCTCTGCCATTCCCACTGTAACATTTGAGCTGCAGCCCCTCCCTCAGGGACAGGGGCAGGGCAGGGGCAGTAGTAGTCGTGGCAGCTGAGAGATGGTCTGCGAGATGCCAGCTGGGTGGCAGAGTAAGCGAGCTGGCTGGAGAAGGGAGGCTGCTGGGAGGACGTAGTGACGGACACACCACGTGGGGTTTTGAGGACCCTGTCACCCAGGACTTGCTCACCGCCCCCCATGCGTGTTCGCACTGGATCTGCCACTTTGTCTCCCTGGGTTCAGCTTCCTGGGCAGGTGCCTCTGACTGGCCAAGCCTTGGTCATGTCCGTGCGGGGGGATGAGGACGGAGGATGTCTCGCCTTCTTCGGCTCCGTGATGGGGGAGGGGGTCCCCAAAGAGAAGAGGGTTTAGATCCTGGCCACTGGCCACTATGCTCCTTTACCATGTTTTTCATCAGAACCTATCAAAGGCTCTCCAATCTGTAGATAATTCCAGTCTTTACTAAGGCCTAGAAGGCTTCCTAAAATCCACCTCCTCCTCATCTTCTGCCTTCGTCACCCATCTCTGTAGACAGACCCCTAGTCCTGCCCCCTCCGCCTCCACGGCTCCCTTCAGCTCTCACTCAGCGAGCCCTTGTGTCCAAAACCGCATCCCACCTCTCCAGCACTTCTCTGCCCTGGCCTTGCCGTACTTTCCTTCCCAAGGCTGGCACCGTAGGAGAGCAAGCAGTCTGTCGTGTGTCCCTTCCCTCCTAAGGGTAAGCTCCGTGAGGGCGGTGGCCTATCACCCAGCACAACTGCTATTGATTGAATACATTGAAAAAGTGTCTCCTCCAAACCCCACTGTTACTTATTTGTGTCACGTTTGCCCCATCGTCACTCGCACATGTGTTCTCTTCCGTGCTGTCTACTCTGTAGCCCTGTCACAGCTGTAACGAAGGGTTTTCTGTGTGATCCTTGAATTACATCCTCCTTCCTCTGTTGTGACTCCTGGTCAGCATGGACCGAAGACGTGGTTTTTCCCATACACCTGACACAGTGCTGGGTGGGTGACCCACCTCTGCTGGCCAGGAAGCCTGTTGGTGGCGTCTCCCCAGTGCCTGTGCTTGCTCCAGAGGAGTTGGCAGGTTCTGTAGTGTGAACACAGGCTGGGCACTGATGTTGTTTCCTCTCTTCCCCACCCCCCATACACACAGGCCCCCTTCTGTCTCCAGGACACCATGAACGCCATCGTCGCTCTCTGTCACTTCTGTGAGCTCCACGGCCCCCGCACTCTCTTTTGCACCGAAGTTCTGCACGCCCCACTTCCTCAGGGGGCTGGGAATGGGGACAGCCCTGGGCAGGGCGAACAGGCCGAGGAGGAGGAAGGTGGCATTCAGATGAGTAGTCGGATCCGCGCTCACAGCCCGGCGGAAGGGGCCAGCGCGGAGTCCAGCAGCCCGGGGCCCAAAAAGTCAGACATGTGCGAGGCAAGTGTCTCTCAGGGTGTTGGAGACGTTTCTTTCTCAACAGGGACTCATGCTGTGTATTTGACCTCCTGGAGAGTGGGCAGGACACCCTGTGGGACTAAGAGCAGTGGACGTGACCTCACAGAAAGGTGTGAGCACGGACCGTTCTTTGTGGGCCCTGTGGAATATGCTTGCTTCTTCTCATGTCCTTTTAGTTCTTTTCCTTCACCCCAGCGTTTGCTTTTTCAGCCCTCCCCTCTGCTGCTCATGTCTGCATGCCAGCCCATCGTAGGCTCCGCTTCCTTTAGTCCAGTATTCTCTGGAAGTTTTCTCGTGGGGTCCTGGCTGTTACTTCTGGTGTCATTTTGTGAGCTCTGGGGAATGAGGTTTAAGTTCCCTCAACAGGCTGCTGCTTTGAGTGACAGCTCTAGGTCGGGACCTGAAATCAGAGGCAGTGTTAGACCTGTCACTGCAGTGTGAACAGGAATCCAACTGCATGAGCTTGATTCCACTGCGAAGCAGGTAGCATGCCCAGGATTGCTGTGTTTATTGCCGGAAACACCCGTGAGGAAGCAGAAGGTGGGGAGAGCCTCGCTGCTGTGAACAAGTCTGACAGCTGTGAAGAAGGAGGAAGGAAAGAGGAGGGCTGGGCAGACAGTGTCCTTGAGCTGGAATTGCCATGTCCTGCATCTCACGGGAGGGGCTTGCCTCCATACCCTCTTGTGCAGTCTCAGGGTGGGGAGAGCCTCCGGGACGCGTGATCTCGGCACCAAGGTGGTGGTGGCTCCGGAGGGGCAGCAGCTGGGGCCACCAGTCGATCTGCTCCACAGCACACGATCTGAGCTTGTGTTCTCAGGCTGCTGCAGCAGCTTGGAAGTCTGGCAACCTCCTGAGGCCCTCACTAAGTGGCTATGTCAGGACCAAGGACAGAGGCTGGCACATAGTGTGTGAGCCACTTTGCAGCCCCGAGCCTCAGCTTTGCCTTCTGTAAAATGGGGATTCTCACCATAATTATCTCATAGGGTTGCGCTTTGGATTATATGAGGTAATGTATGCAGAGCTCTTCATAATACCTGCTACGTAAGTGCTCAGATTAGACCTCTTATTCAGACTCTTGATGATCGTTGTGATCGCTCTGTCCTGGTTTTCCTATTCAGGAAACATTTGAGATCTTCAGATAAGTACTCTAGAAGCCAGTTATTTTTATATGAAAATCGATGGAGTCTTTTGTTCCCATGTACACAAGAAAGTTTGTTACCTGCTTCCTAATTGGTTTTCTTTTCCTTCTGGGGGGCAGGGCTGCCGGTCACTTGCTGCAGGCCATCCTGGGTATATCAGCCATGATAAAGAGACCTCGATTAAATATGTCAGTCACCAGCACCCCAACCACCCCCAGCTCTTCAGCATTGTTCGCCAGGCCTGTGTGCGGAGCTTGAGCTGTGAGGTGAGCACCATGACCCCAGGGGGCACTCTGGGGATATCACACACATCCAAGGTGCTCCGAACAAGTTCAGTACTGGTTACAATGAGGAAGACAGAGTCCTGCCCTGAAGAGGACGTGGATCAGTGAGTAGGAGCACAGAGCAGCCCCAGGTCTCTAGAACGCCAGAATAGGTTGGGTTGGACTCCAGTTTTCTAAATGGTTGCTAGCTTATAATTTCAAGCAACAGACTTCTGTTATCTGTTCATTCTTGGTGAATATATTTCTAAGATATTAAGTATTTCTAGGATATTTCATTTACCATATCAGATACCACTTTTTTATCGTCTCTGTCATGATTACAAGCCTTAGTGGTCACCGTGTGCTCTTAGAACCTGCTGAAGGGTAAATCAGTTTGTTCCTTAGCTATACCCTGCTGCTGTTTTGATTTCAAGTCTTAGTTCAAGTCTTTTGATTTCAAGTTCTTAGTCTATGTTTGTATCTGTCACGAATTCATAATCCCAGTTGTAAAATTTCCCTTTTCCATACTGACTTGAGCAGACACACTGAGCGCCTCTCTGTTTTCACTTATGGTCGCTGTGTGCCTACCTTCAGCTCGTTCCCTCTTTTTTTTTTTTTTTTTTTTAATTTTTTTTTTCAACGTTTTTATTTTTTTATTTTTGGGACAGAGAGAGACAGAGCATGAACGGGGGAGGGGCAGAGAGAGAGGGAGACACAGAATCGGAAACAGCCTCCAGGCTCCGAGCCATCAGCCCAGAGCCTGACGCGGGGCTCGAACTCACAGACCGCGAGATCGTGACCTGGCTGAAGTCGGACGCTTAACCGACTGCGCCACCCAGGCGCCCCTCGTTCCCTCTTTTTGATTTCCTGTTGGCTAATCTGCTAGAAGCAGATGATTGTGCCAGATAGAATTGTGTATAAAGTAAGAGTGAGTATGTCATGAGGGAGACCTAACTTTTCTCCTATAAACGAAGTATGCAGATTTCATTGAATGGACCCTACGGTGACTCTTTTGACCTTCTCCAGTATATTCCAGATGAGTGACAATGGCAAATTTGAGTCTGGAGTATTTACAATATTTGAATAGGAGTTATTTATGGCTCAAGGTAGAAAAAAGTCATGAACCTACTTGCCCTTGCAATCCATGATAACGAATGTGATCATTAGACAGTTTGATCCCAGGAGCAGATGAAAGCAGTTTTCCTGTCTTGGCCCCCACCTTTCCCACTCTTCCTATGACAGATGCTAGTTAATTAGGCCAGAGAGATAAGTCTGAGGAGGAGGATTTGACTTTGTGTCACCAAAGCCAGCACAGGACTGTGTCCTGGAATGACTGCTGATTTTCACAGGTCTGCCCTGGCCGTGAAGGCCCCATCTTCTTTGGAGATGAGCAGCATGGTTTCGTGTTTAGCCACACTTTCTTCATCAAAGACAGCCTGGCCCGGGGCTTCCAGCGCTGGTACAGCATCATCGCCATCATGATGGACCGGATTTACCTCATCAACTCCTGGCCCTTCCTGCTTGGAAAGATCCGAGGGATCATTGACGAACTTCAGGGCAAAGCACTCAAGGTGACCCCACAGAAAGAGTGGGTGGCAGTGGGGGAGGAACTTCACGCTGACAGGGGGGGTCAGAGCACGGGTGGCTGTTGCTCTGTCTGAATCTTCTGCCTTCAGACTCAGGGCTGGTGATGAGCCTCACCGTCAGTCCTGCTTGCTTTACTGGGCTCTCTGGAGTCCGCTGTTGTCCCAGTTCTCCTCCAGCTCTGGCTTCTTTACTGCGGTCGAATGCCCTGGTGTCTCCCTGGTGCCTGTGCTTCCTCTGACCTTCATTTCCGAAGCCTGTCCATTAATCGTGTTGTAGACCCACCACCAGCGTAGGCCTCTAGCTGTGGCATCACGTCTCTCAGGATAGGCTGGGTCATGCTGTGGTAACAGACAGCCCCCGGACCTCGGTGGCTCAAAGCCACAGTTTGGTTTTTGTTCATGTTCTGTGTCCATGGCAGGGAAGTGGGGGGATCTGCTTACTGCAGTCAGCCCAGCAGGCGGAGCCACAGCCAAAGGGGAATGTTGCTCGTTTCTCCGTTGGAGGGGTAGACGGTGCTGGAGGGCCTTGTCTCTCTCCGTCATTGCCAGAACTGGGCACGTGTCCCCCCCCACACCGGGTCCCTCCGTGGAAGCCTCCGGGGGCCTGGGACTGGAAATACTTGCAGAGCAACACTGATGACCACCCCCACACGTGCCACCCGAGTACTGTCAAGTGCCTAATGAGCGGGTTGTGGGAGAGGGACAGGAGGGCACTTACCCCATTCCTCTTCCTCGGGTGGCTTCTAATCAAGATGCAAAGCAAAACCATCCTGTTTGGAATTGTGAGGCTGGCGGCACTTTCTGTGCCCTTCAGAGGGGGACTGAGTTTTCAGGAGCAGGATCCAGGATGTTGGCTGTGAATGAGCTGGCTCTGGGTTTCTTGGCTGGTTTGGTTTGGTTTGGTTAGGTTAAAAGGCTACCTCTTCCCAGGGCGTGTGGGTGGCTCATTCGGATCAGCGTCCGACTTTGGCTCAGGTCATGATCTCACAGTCTGTGAGTTCGAGCCCTGTGTTGGGCTCTGCTGACAGCTCGGGGCCTGGAGCCTGCTTCAGATTTTGTGTCTCCCTCTGTCTTTGCCTCTCCCCCTCTCACATTCTATCTCTCTCTCAAAAGTAAACATTAAAAAAAAAAAAAGACTAACCCTTCCCTTTCCATTTCAGGTATTTGAAGCAGAGCAGTTCGGATGCCCACAGCGTGCCCAGAGGATGAACACGGCCTTTACACCATTCCTGCACCAAAGGAACGGTAATGCCGCTCGTTCGCTGACCTCCTTGACCAGCGATGACAACTTGTGGGCGTGCCTGCACACGTCCTTTGCTTGGTAAGGAGATTTTCAGGTCTTTTAGCACCAGTTAGAATGGGTACAGTCACGGTATAGTGGTTGGGTTATGCGTGAATCTGGGGAGAAAGGTTGTTGGATGAGTTCCCCTCAGTGCCTCTCTGCTGTGTACTTGTTGGCAGGCACCGACCTGGGCTACAGTCCTCCTTTCCCTCCAGGCGTCTCCCCCTGAGTGTGTGGAAGATTTACTTAGGTGGCACTCACTTCCCTGTGGTCTGTTGGTTTATTATTTAAAAAAAAATTTTTTTTTTCAGTGTTTATTTTTGAGAGACAAAGAGTGAGCGGGGGAGGGGCAGAGAGGGAGACACAGAATCTGATGCAGGCTCCAGGCTCCAAGCTGTCAGCACAGAGCCCAACGAACCGTGGGATCATGACCTGAGCTGAAGTCGGATGCTTAATCGACTGAGCCCAGGTGCCCCTATTTATCTGGTTTTTTAATTAATGTTTAAGAGAGAGAGAGACAGAGAGCATGAGCAGGGGAGGGGCAGAGACAGAGAATGTCAAGCAGACTCCACACTATCAGTGCAGAGCCCTGCTCGGGGCTCAAACTCATGAACCTTGAGATCATGACCTGAGCCGAAACCAAGAGTTAGATGCTTAACTGGCTGAACCACCCAGACGCCCCTCCCCGTGATATGTTTAAAATGATGCTCCCATACCAAGAGCAGTGATCACCTCCCTTTTTTGTCTACAACAATAAACGTTTCTCTCACACAGCTCTGTGGGTCAGGAATTCGGGAGTGGCTTAGCTGAGTGGTTCTGGCTCAGGTTCTCAGGAGTTTATCGGTTGGGTCTGCAGTCATCTGGCAAGCTGGTGGTGCTGTGGGCGTGGTCACGTCAAGCACCTGTTGTTTGTGAGGAGTGTGCCATTTGCTAACACCTGTCAAGTCAGGAGGAAAGGATTGCCTTTGAAAACCACCATAGTCTGGCCTCTGGCCTCAGATCGCTCCTCTTCCTTCCATTGTAAGATGTTCTCATGAAAACTCCCAAACTCTCGTTCTTGTGCAGCAGCGGCCCCAGGTGTGTGTGTGGGGGGGGGTGGGGGGCTCGTCGTCGAAATCAGGCCCAGGTACAGATGAGGCACCTAGAACGAAGATCTTTGAGGGTGGCCCCTGAGGACCTGTGACGTCAAGAGAAAGCATCTGTCTGTCTCCCCCACCCAATGTACCGTCATTTAGGGAGGTTTTCAGACAGACCCAAAATAGAATAAATAGTCTAATGGACTGCACACCCTCATCATCCAGCTGTAGTAGTTACCAACATTTTACTGCTTTTTCTGTCTCCTCACTTTTTTCTGGAGTGTTTTCTTTTTGTTTTTTGTTTTTTTTTAATTTTTTTTCTTTTAACGTTTATTTATTTTTGAGACAGGGAGAGACAGCATGAATGGGGGAGGGTCAGAGAGAGAGGGAGACACAGAATCTGAAACAGGCTCCAGGCTCCGAGCAGTCAGCACAGAGCCTGACGCGGGGCTCGAACCCACGGACCGCGAGATCATGACCTGAGCCGAAGTCGGATGCTTAACTGACTGAGCCACCCAGGCGCCCCCGGAGTTTTTTCTTAAAGCACGTTTTAGTTGTATCATTTCAAACATAGAGCCATTATCCAGCAAAACTGACAAATTCCATCGTATCATCCAGCCCAATCCATGTTCAGTTTTCCTGTTTTGCCTCAGAACTGACCGTTGAAGTGGGGTCGGGTCACCCCTCCACTTGCACATTGTTCTCTGTGCCTCCGCCACCGACTCTCCCGTGCCTTTTGTTGGAGGACCTGGGTCACTTGTCCTGCAGAATTCTTGTTTTGGATTTGGCTCAATGTAACTGCAATGTGATCTTTTATCCCATATTCTCTGTAAACTAGTAGCCAGATCAAAAGGCTTGCCTGGCTTCAGGTTCCGTTTTTCTTCTGGCAAGAACGCTTCACAGATGGTGCTTTGTTCTCCAGGCTCCTGAAAGCGTGCGGCAGCCGGCTGACTGAGAAGCTCCTGGAGGGCGCCCCCACGGAGGACACCTTGGTCCAGATGGAGAAGCTTGCGGGTGAGCCGGGAGAGCCCGTGCTGGAGGCCTTGCCTGTGGTGGCTGGCGGGGGCCACGTCATAGCCTCCAGGCCCTCCTCCGTCCTCATGAAGGGGACCCAAGGATGGGAAACCGGGGGGAGTATCTGCAAGGGCTTGCCCTTTATTCTTGGGTGTTTTTATCGTGATTTCCTGTCTCCTTTTTGACAGTCCTATGAAAGAATCTACTGCTCTGGGCAGGTTGGGAAAATCTGCTAGTTGGGGTTGTTCGAGGGTGGAGAGGACGGATCGATTAAAGGTTTTCTTGTCCCTGTTTTACAATATCCAGGTGCTTGGTCTCTCTAGACAGTCTCTCATTCTTTGTTCTTTAATGACAAAATGTTATGCTTCAGCTGGACCCAAGGTTTCTGTCAAGGATGGTTCCCAAGCCTTTCCAATGTCTGGGCAGTCCTCCCCAAGTTCGTGACCAGATCTGGGGCTCAGGGTCCTGGGGGTTTTAAGTAACTCCCCAGGTGATTCTGGTGCGCTGTGCACCAGCACAGGAACCTCTGGTCTCAATCCGGGCCGTGCTTTTCCCTCGGAGGTGATCTGATTCTTGGTGATCTAGGTCCACGGCCTCAGCTTCGGGGTTGGGTAAACCAGACTTGTGATGTATGTCGTGTGTGATGTGTTACCAGTAACACTTGACGTGCTTCAGGTTGCGTGTAATGGACCTTAATGAATCGGAGCTGGTTCTTCCTAGTCAGGTGACTTCGCACGCACTTGGATTCCAACATGCTTCTTTCCTGAGTGGGAGAAGGGGGTAGAGTATCAGCAGGAGCAGGGCAAGCTCTGAAAAACAAAGCCGTTCTGTCCGCCTTCGTGTCCTCGTGGATCAAGTCGGGCCCAGAACCATTTGCTACTCTGATTAGAAATTAGAAATTTCGAGGCTAATGAAGATGGCAAGGGTAGTCTGTTGGTGAGAGTATTTACACAGAGAGCCAAGCAAGTCCATCCGAGCTTGTAGGAAGGATAGACATGCAGGCACACGGGGCTCTCTGTCATGTCTTGGACTGTAGTTTAGCTCCGAGCACACACTTGGATTTGGACAGACCTGGGGCCAGATCCTGGCTCTGCTCCTGTCGTGTTCTGTGTGCACAGATCAGGCCTCTTCCCTGCAGGTCTCACTTGGAACACGGAATGAAGATGTCCTCATTTGTGACCGTTGTCACACAGATTAATGGAAATAACAAGTATTTCTTTATCTGTAAAATGAGAATAGCACTGACCTCAGGACACTTGGAAGGATGAAGAGGAATAGCGTGTGGCCACCCCCAGCATAACACCTGCCTGGGGAAGTGTTCAGTGAATGAGCTGTCAGCTTGCTCAGCATTGCATTTTCCCATGACCGTGAGCAGCTCCTAGTCTTGCAGGTGCCTGCTTCCTAATGCAATGTGAGGCTTTGAGCTAACTAAATAAGTAAGCAGACCAACCCTCCCTGCTCACCCTGGGGCTCCGAGAACAAGATGTATGAAAGCTGGCCCAAACCAGAAATCGGGAGATGCCTTGTGCTAAAGCGGACACTACCCTTTTGCATCCAGGGAATGAAGGGATCCAGGGGCAGCATGTTCATAAATGTCTGTGTTGTCCGCCTTGCAGACTTAGAAGAGGAATCAGAAAGCTGGGACAACTCTGAGGCTGAAGAGGAGGAGAAAGCCCCTGTCGTGCCAGACGGTGCAGAAGGGCGGGAGCTGACCAAATGCCGAGCAGAGTCTTCCTTGCTCTCAGACTGTGGAAACTGGCAGCCCCGAAAGCTGTCTGTCTTTAAGTCCCTTCGGCACATGAGGCAGGTAGGCGGCAGAAAAGCACACCCCCACTCAGAAGCTCTAGAGAAGAGCCCAGCCCCCTCATCCAGCACGCTTTGTCCTTCTGGCCCGTCGTGTTCGAGAGCTGGCAGGAGTGTCGGTTAGGAGTAACCAAAAAAAATCCTTGATGGCTGGCTGAAGACGGCAGTGGCTGTCTGGGGTTTCTTAGCCACAGGATGTGTGCTCCCCTTTTAGTGATGATGTGCGTGTCTGTTTTAAAGAAAGACCTGCGTGGTTGGCTTTCTCACGGTTCTCTCATCGTGTCATTCTGGAACCTTTTAAAGGAAGTGAACGTCACTATTGATTTGCCTGCAGCCTAGACGCTTTGTAAAGTAGAAATGATGGCCCTTCTTTTTTTTTTTTTAATTTTTTTTTTCAACGTTTATTTATTTTTGGGACAGAGAGAGACAGAGCATGAACGGGGGAGGGGCAGAGAGAGAGGGAGACACAGAATCTGAAACAGGCTCCAGGCTCTGAGCCATCAGCCCAGAGCCTGACGCGGGGCTCAAACTCACGGACCGCGAGATCGTGACCTGGCTGAAGTCGGACGCTCAACCGACTGCGCCACCCAGGCGCCCCAGTGATGGCCCTTCTTACAAAAAATTGGAAAGAACCCAGATGTCCAACCAAAGGAATTGCATCCAAATGATGGGATGTCATTAAACACAAAGAAGAGAGCAAGCGGTGTATTGTGCAGGGTGGTAGGTGTGTTTATATGCGGTAGCAGAGACGGAGTCTCACGCAACACTATTGACCATGGTTATATTTGGTCATACAGGAGGAAGAGGTCACAAGATTGTAAGGACAGTCCCTTTTTATACTTTTCTGTGGCTATTTTTACAGTGAGCGTGAGTTTTATCAAAAGATATTTCTGTTTTGGAAAATGGAGTAAGGACTGATTTAATGGCAGATGCTCCGTGGGGCTGGATGAGGAACAGTCAGCCATCAAAACCATGTATTTGGCTAAAATCATCCTTGTCGATTGCTCATGTAGTTTAAAGTTGGAAGGAATCTTAAATTCCATGGGAAGTGGGAGTATTTTTTGAAGCTATAAGAGTCTTCTAAAATCTCTAGTATTTCTAGCCTCCCTTTTTATTTTTTAAAGCCATGCTCATAAGCCATAGGATAACAGACTGAATTCTCCTAAAATGCCAGTATCAGGGAAGTTATAAAAAGTCGGGTGGAGAGAGGGACTGTTCTGGCTAAAGTAGGATAAAGATAGTAGAATAAATAAAACAGTCGTGATCCTTAAGTAAATCCTGGATTGAAAGAATAGCAACTATAGAGGATATTGTTAGAGGTTTGGGAATCCAGATACTGGGTTGGTGGCACATGCATGTGGGGCTTCTGGGTGTGGTGTGTACTGGGTTGTGTCGGAGAGCCCTGTCCTTTCTGGGTGCTCAAGTGTCATGCCTGTCCCTTACTTTCAAATGGTTCAGCAAAATAGAGTATATATAGAGAGAAAGTGAATATTGCAATTCTCTGCCTCAAGTGTTTAAAAATAAAATTGGAGAAAAGATCTCAAAGTGTGCAAGGGCTTTGCGGTTAGGCTTTCAGGTGCAAATCCAGAGGCTTCCTGCTGCATCTTCCCGGCTGCAGGCTAGTTACCAGCTCTTCTCTCTTGACCCATCTCCCTTCCCTGTCCAGAGAGCACACAAATAACTTGAGGTGCATGGAAGAAAATTCACAGAGAAAACCCTGAACTATATCTTTCAGGTCCTGGGTGCCCCGTCTTTTCGCATGTTGGCCTGGCATGTTCTCATGGGGAATCAAGTGATCTGGAAAAGCAGAGACGCAGACCTTGTCCAGTCAGCTTTTGAAGTTCTTCGGGTAAGAGGATTTTTTCTCTTAAATATTTTGTAGCAGGACCGGGTTTGTCTAGTGGGTTATTTTTTTAAATCCTGACTTTGGGTGTGAATGTTAAGAGGCATTAATGGCTCAGTGTAAAGGTTTGTGCCTGAATCTAAGATATGTGTTGTTTTCTCCACTGTGTAAAATGGCAGCCATCAATGGTTGTTCTTTCCAGTGGAAGGAGTCTGTGCTACCCTGATAGATTGATAACTGACTACCTTATACCCCATCCCCAAATCCCTCCAAGAAGTCACGGGCATGGTTCACAGCTACCAGAGAAGCAGGTCTGGGTCACCACATGTTCCTGGGCACAGAACATTCCCAGTGAGTCAGATGGGATGCAGGTCTACCATGCTGTCTGTGCCCCAGTGGCGCAGAGGGCGCCAAGGCGTAGGTCTGACTCTGATGATATTTAAGTCATCAGAAACCTGGTGCATGCCTCACATCTTGCTAGGCCTTTGAGGGCACAAGATGATTGTGACACAATCTATCAGAAAGCTTAAAATCTTTTTGTGGGATGAGGGAAGAGACAGAAACCGAAGATCGATAGATTAATACCGCAAAGCAAGAGGTAGCATAAGTCCTGTATGACTGATTGCCGGAATAGGAGTCGGGGCTGTGTGGGAGACACCCCAGTGGGGCTGTGTGACCAGGAATGCCTTCTGGGAGGAGAGAGGCTTGGCACTGAGCTGCAGAGGGCGCTTGGGGTGTGGGTGATGGAGACAGGCAGTGGCGGGGGACATTCCAGCTGGTGTCAGCCTGAGTCACTGGGTCCTCTCTAGACTATGCTGCCGGTGGGCTGCGTCCGCATCATCCCTTACAGCGACCAGTATGAGGAGGCCTACCGGTGCAACTTCCTGGGGCTCAGCCCCCATGTGCAGATCCCCTCCCACGTGCTGTCCTCAGGTGCGTACCTTTCCCGTCTGACCCGAGTCCCTGCGCCTTAGGGCACACAAGCAGAAGTGGGTCTCCGCCGTGGACGTGAGGATGCTGCTGGCTCGAAGCAGGAGGAGCAGCTTTCCCGGCGGCTCTGGGCGTCGATTTTCTGTCCGTGAAGCGGGTGAGGGTTGGACAAGGCGGCCTCAGAGTGAGGGTGGCTTGTCTGGATGTGTTCTCGGTGGAGGGCAGGATACAGTCCTGGGGGTGGGCACAACACACATGGCTGCCAGGCTCTCGTCATGCCATTGTGCTGAGTTGGTGATGCCAACAGGATTCCGGAGACGACGACTCTTTTACGTGCCTTAAATCCATCCTTGATGTTCTTGAGTACAGTGGGGCTTGCTCAGCCCAGCTCCTCCCTCGGTGCTGGCAGGTTCCCTCCTCCGGGCAGAGCCAACAATCTAGTCAGCGTCCTCGTCTTTTGGTTTGGGGACTTTAGCAGTCGGCGTGGGTGTAAATCCCAGCCTCCCCAGGCAAGCCAGGGGCTTCTCTGAGCACCCGAGCACACCGATGCAAGGTGGCCAGGAGGTTGACGGGCAGAGCTTCTGGCGCCCAGCAGTCCTGAGCTGCCGCTGCAGTCAGCACCCGGGCTGGGTCCTGAGTCCCTCAGACGGCACCTGTTTTTGGAACACGGGTTCCTGGTGTCAGAGATGGGCTTGAATTTCTTCACCACTACTAACTGTATGACCTTGAGCCAAACCGCTTTGTTCCCCTGTCATAAAATGGGGCTAACAGCGGCTGTTTGGCGTTAGCTGAACTGAGGTATGTAATCAGTAGTGACTGTAACATAATGCGTTCGCTGAGGCAAGAGTTAATGCTTAACCTGTATTCACAAGTACACTAGAAAAGGCTTTAGATGCCCAAGCGTTAGTCCGGGGAGGTGTTTCTGCTCTGTGATCCGAGATGATTCAGAGTGGCGGTGGGAGGCAGGTTCCCCGAGCGGTGCGTTTTGTGTCGCTGCAGAATTTGCTGTGGTCGTGGAGGCCCACACAGCCCCTCGCTCCAGCCTCCACCCGGTCGGGTGCGAGGATGACCAGTCCCTCAGCAAGTATGAGTTCGTGGTGACCAGTGGAAGTCCCGTAGCCGCGGACCGAGGTGGGCGCTGCTGAGCAGGGCTTCCTTTCTCAGGGGGAGCGGGAAGGAGGGTGAGGCTGCCTCTCGCTCCCCATCGCGCTGACGGCCCCGCCCTTGTTCCCAGTTGGCCCCACCATCCTGAACAAGATGGAAGCTGCTTTGAGCAACCAGAATCTGTCTGTGGGTGTGGTGGACCAGTGCCTCGTCTGCCTCAAGGAGGAGTGGATGAAGTGAGCACACGCCCTGTCGGCCCCCAGAGTTGGCTTTCCCCGGGGGCGGGCTGGCAGCCAGCGGCAGTTATATTCTGCTGGCGAGAGCCAGAAGCTGTTTCCAGAAGAAGAAGCCGTGGCCTCTGTGAGAAATGGGGTAGAATAGGAGTTAACAGCGTGGGTTCAGATAGCATCTTCGCCATTTAGTCTGTTAGCTGGGTGGCCTCGAGCAGGGTCAGCGCTCCTCGTCCCCATGCAGGTCCTCTGTGACATGGGAGTGACACATGCCTCCAAGAGAAGCAGTTATTTTTGCTGCTTAATTAACTTTAAAAATCTGAAAGCCAGATAACAGACGTTCCCTTTCTGTTGAAGCTAACTAGTTATTCCGTTAGTAATTTTTCCTTAGTAATTTTCTGTCAAATTCAATTAGACCTTGTCCTGATTTAATAATATAATGAAGCTTGGGAGCACTGAACTCCTTTAATGAATTTAAAGAAAATGTGCGTTTTCCCCCATCCTGAGGCCCCAGCCATGTGACCCAGGGCGGAAGTGCGGGGCAGGCGAGAGGTCCTGGGGTGTGCAGGCGCCTGCAGGGCTCTGGCTGGTCCTGAAGCCGTCCGGCCTCAGCCCAGAGCCCTGGTGCGATTATGCTGTGGTGTCTGAGCACTCTGTGTTTGATTTTCTTCAGCAAAGTGAAGGTCCTCTTTAAATTCACCAAGGTGGACAGTCGGCCCAAAGAGGACACGCAAAAGCTCCTCAGTATCCTTGGAGCATCCGAGGAGGACAATGTCAAGCTGCTCAAGTTCTGGATGACGGGTCTGAGCAAAACCTACAAATCGCACCTCATGTCCACCGTCCGCAGCCCCACGGCCTCAGAGCCTCGTAATTGACCCCGCCGTGGGAATCTGAGCCCACGTTCACCTGAAAAACGGCGATTGCCATCTTCGCCGCTGAGCTCAGAGACGGGTCTCGGAGGGCAGTCACAGACGACTCCTGTTTCCTGGTAAGGAATGGAAACTGTTGGGGCTGAACTTTGCCCTCTCTGTGGGATTTGGGCCTGGTGTAGTTTTCAGTACCATGCCACAAGCCAGGTGGATTGCTCCAGCTCTGAAGGGGGCACAGAGACACTTGGGATACTAGGTCCCCTGTGTGTGTGCACCTCTGTGAGAGATGACCAAAGACAATGTGCATCTCCTGTCTCTCAAGGATTTCGATCTCAGAATTTATAGGGAAAACACGTGAGGCCAGTCCCAACTTGGGTATTTTGGCCACAGTAAAAAACCTCTCTTAAGGTTAATGTTTGAACCTTTCTGTTCTGAAACCCAAGACTTTTCCAGGTTTTATATGTCTTCGTGTATGTTTTGCTACAGTTGTGACTTTTCAGGGTCTGTGCCGATCCTCAGTCATTGTTAGTGATCTGGTTTTGAGCTCTAGGAATGGCTTTTGGGGTGGAATGGATGTTTTCCTCATCTTTGGGCCCTCTGGGGTTCATGTTCTGGAATCATGTAACTTCCAAGGCTTCTGGCCATGCTCTTGGGTGGTTGCTTTGGCATTTCCCTATAGCTTGAGGACAGGCCCTGATCTTTTGTTTTTACACAAAGATGATACTTTGCTGAAATGTCAGATGGAGCCATTTGTCTTGCCTGACTCACTGGATGTGGAGTTGAGGAACCCACCACAGTTCTCTCCCATATCACTTTGCCCTTTATTGATTGCTTCTTTAAACATTTACATTTGGCAGCAGGTAACAATTTTCAGAATATGGTGATTTAAGAACATTTTCTCATGCCAGTGTGCACCTTTAATAAGGATTCATGGCTTGGAGGGATTTTCCAGCAGTTTTGCTGATTTGTTTATAGTTCTTTGCTTAATTTATATTTAACATGGAGACTAAGTTTATATGACTAGGTATCTATCGTGCAAGAACATTGAAACACAATAAAGATGTATTTTTTTAAACTGTTGACTACGTGGTTTTGTTGGTTTGATACCTAGAATTTTCTTGGGATCAGTCACAGAAAATATCATGGCTAAAATCAAACCTGTGTTGATAGAACCATTTTGGAACTCTGGAGTCTGTTAAAGACTTGCAAATTCTAGAAGACTTGGACTGGACATTGTGGTCAGTTTTGATCAATTTCAGCTCGTAGCACAGAAGCACTACCATCCCCCAACCCTAGCCACATAGGTGTGCAGGTGTTCCTGGAGCAGCCTGCACACACCATAGGGGAGCTATGGTGAGTAAAAAGGACCCTAAACTACAACCTTGGAGAATCTGTGCTCTGATCACTCATTGCTGCTTCAGATCACAGGTGCAAAGAGCCTGGCTGCCAGCGGACTTAATGGTCTGATGCCCCTGCCCCCGCTTCAGTTTGTGTGTGTGTTTCCCCTTTCAGGAGCCAGATGATAAAATAGGATGTTTAGAAACAACTGCATATACAAGGGAAATTAGAAACTGTGCATGCCCAAGGAAAGGCTCAGAAAGACCTGAGAAAAGTAGAAGTTTATACCTCAGTCTGATCCTTGGCAAAGAGTTTACAATGATAGAAATAGAAGACAAAAAGCAGTAAACCTTGGGGAAGAGGGAACTATCTGATTTTCACTTATCACATGATTAGATTTGAATGTCCAGCGTTCAACCAAAAATCACAAAGCATACAAATAAATAGGAAAGAATGTCCCATCCAAAGGAAAACAACAGAACTGGTCCCTGGGAAAGACTTTTAATGGCAGATATACTAAACAAAGTCTTTAAAACAATTCTCAAGATGCTCAACTAAAGGAAGATGTGAAGAAAGCCAAAAAAAATGTATGAGCAAAATGGAACTATAAAGAAACAGAAAACCTAAAAAAACCAGAGTTCCAGAGCTGAAAACTACAACTGCAATGAAGAATTCACGAGAGTGCCTCCAAGGCCAACTTGAGCGGGCAGAAGAAAGAATCCATGAACTTGAAGATAGAACAGTGGACATCAGTGAGGCTAAGGAACAGAGAAAAATTGAAGAAAAGTGGACAGAACCTAAGAGAACTACGGACACTATCAAAAGGATCAACCTGCACATTGTGGGAGTCCCAGAAGGCAAAGGGGCAGAGAACATTCAAAGAATGGCTAGGAGTGCCTGGGTGTCTCAGTCAGTTGAGCGTCAAACTCTTGATTTTGGCTCAGGTCATGATCAAAGAGTCGTGGGATTGAGCCCTGTGTTGGTCTCCGAGCTGAGCATGGAGCCTGCTTGAGATTCTCTCTCCTGCCCCCCACCTCTGCTTGCATGTTCTCCCTCTAAAATAAAAAAATAAAAAAATAAAATTAAATTAAATAAAAGAATGGCTAAAAACTAACCAAATTTGGTGAAAGATAGGAACATAAATATATAAGAAGCTCAGAATCTGCCAACTAAGATGAACCCAGAGCCACACTGAGACACATTCTAATCAAACTTCCGAAAGACAAAGAGCAGATCTTGAAAGCAGCAAGAGAGAAGCAAATCATCACATATGGGGATCTTCAATGGGAATGTATACAGATTTCTCATCAGAAACGTTGGAGGCCAGAAGACAGTGGGCCAATATAGTCAAAGTGCTCAAACAAACAAACAAACAAACCCCCCTGTCAACCAATAGTCCTATCCAGCAAAACTGTCCAAAAGTGGGGGAGAAATCAAGACATTCCTGGATAAAAGAGGAGGCAGTTTGTGATCACTAGAACTGCCCTACAAGAAATGCCCACAGGAGTTCTGCAAGGTGAAGTGAAAGACACCATCAGTACCTCAAAGCCATATGGAGAAATAAAGATCTCAATAAAGGTAGATCATGAGCAATTGTAAAAGCTAATATTGTAGCAATGGTATGTTAACTGTACTCTGTTTCCTGCATGACTTAAGCACACCTAATAATGTAAAAGTTAGTATTGGGGTGCCTGGGTGGCTCAGTTGATTGAGCGTCCCACTTTGGCTCAGGTCGTGATCTCTCATTCCATGGGTTCACGCCCCACATTGGGCTCTGTGCTGACAGCTCAGAGCCTGGAGCCTGCTTCCGATTCTGTGTCTCCCTCTCTGCCCCTCCCCCACTTGTGCTCCCCCTCTCTCTCTCTCTCTCAAAAAATAAAAATAAACATAAAAAAATATTTTAAAAAAAATCTCCCATGAAAGAAAACTCCTGAAGTCAATGGCTTTACTAGTGACTTCTACCAGACATTGAAATAACTAACTTTCAAAAAAAAAAAAGAAGAGGAAAGAACACTTCCTAACACATTCCATGAGCCAGCATAATCCTGATACTAAAGCCAGAAAAGACACTATAAAGAAAACTACAGACCAATATCCTTTATAAACATTGATGCAAAAATCCTCAACAAGATACTAACAAATAGCATAGTAAAAGGTCCATACATCATGGCCAAATGGGATTTATTTCTGGGATGCAAGGATGGTCCAACATAAGACTATCAGTGTAATATACCATGTTAGTAAAAGGAAAGGGAAAAACCACATGTCATCTCAATGCAGAAAAAGCATTTGACAAAATTCAACACTCTTTCATGATAAAAATATATGTAATCAATATAAAAATATATAATTATTATAATAAAAGTCATATATGAAAAACCCGTGGCAAACATAGTACTCAGTTGTGAAAGACAAAGGTTTTCCTCGAAGATCAGGACCAAGGTAAGGTTGGCCACTTTCATCACTTCTATTCAACACAGGACTGGAAGTTTTAGCCAGAGCAATTAAACAAGAAAAAGAAAAGGCATCTAAATTGGAATGGAAGTAGTAAAATTATTTCTGTTTGCAGATGAGATGCTCCTTATATATAGAAAACCCTAAAGACACCACACAAAAGACATTAGATCTAATACAGGAATTCAGCAAAGTTGTACAATACAAAATCAACACAAAGAAAACAGTTGCATTTCTATACATGATGAACAATCTGAAAATGAAATTATAAAACAATTTCACTTATAACATCAAAAAGAATAAAATAAGAATTAACCAAGGAGGTGACAACTTGTACAATGAAAACTACAAAACAATTGGGGGAAAAAAAACAATTGCTGAAAGAAATTAAAGAAGACATAAATAAATAGAGGGATGCCTGGGTGGTTCAGTCAGTTGAGCATCTGACTTCGGCTCAGGTCATGATCTCCCCGTTCATGAGTTCGAGCCCTGCGTCGGGCTCTGTGCTAACAGCTGAGAACCTGGAGCCTGCTTTGGATTCTGTGTCTCCCTCTCTCTCTGCCACCTCCCCCCACTAGCTCACCCTCTCTCTCTGTCTCTCAAAAATAAATAATAAAAAAAAAAAAGTAAAAAAATAAGTGGAAACACATTCTATGTTCACAGATTGGAAGACTTAATATTGTTAAAATGTCAATATTATCCAAAGCGATCTGCAGATCCAATGCAATCCAATATCAAAATCCCAAAAAATAATTTTTTGCAAAAATAGGAAAACCCACCAAAAAATTCATATGGAACCTCATCCAAACAGCCTAAACAATCCTGAAAAAGAACAGATCTGGAGGACTCACACTTTCTGATTTCAAAACTTACTTTGAAGATACATAATAAAAAGTGTGGTATTGGCATGAAGACAGACATATAGACCAGTGGAATAGATTAGAGAGCCCAGAAAAAAAATCCTCACAAATATGAACAAATCATTTTTGACAAGTGTGCCAAGACCATTCAATGGGGGAAAGCATGGTCTATTCAACAAATGGTTCTGGGGAAACTGAATGTCCACATGCAAAAGAACAAAATTAGGCCCTTACCTAACACCATATGTAGAAATTAACCCCCAAAAAGTAACTCAAAATGAAACCAGGACCTACATGTAAGAGTTAAGATGGCAAAACTCTTAGAAGAAAACACAGGGCAAAAGCTTCTTGATT